TCTTGCAGTTTATGGATAAATAATTATCATTCATTGCCATTTCGCAGCTTCTCGGAGCTGATGTGCCACTAATAAAACGGTTTATTTTTGCAACTTTCTTGGCCTTTTTGGTATGATGTCCACATTTATTTTTCAATGACCTCCTTTTTCCATCTCACCACTCACACTCTGTACTAGGATTGGTAGGCGTGGCTTTAAAAAATATTGTTTGTAGTTGCATGTCTGAATGCCATAAAGGAGCTGGTTTGGCTTTTCCAAAGTGTAAAAATACCTCTGCAATGGCGAAAAAAACCAAAAACTCCATGGTTAATTGGCCTTAACTTAACAGCATACTGAAGCGGAAAATGAGGAATTCCAAAAATGCATTATCTCGCCTGACCGTGCTTAAACCAGAGAAGCATCCACTAAAGCCGGTGGAGGAATCTTCGATTTCAATTTAAACGAATAAATATATCTCGATTAACATTTCTAGAACCGTGTTGCAGCGACGCGGTACCGCGCAGCACAAGCGGGGTATCCGATGTTTTTCTCTCGTAAATTTCATGAAAGCGACAGGTGCGCGCAAAAAAGCAAGATGGGAATTTTAAACGGTGCCGAACCATCGTTGGTACCCTTCCGACCATCCAAATCAACCAACTTGATTAGTTTGTAACTTTTGTCTTTTGCCTTTTCAAACCATGGCGAGGCTAAATTGGCCGATTCTTCTCATTGCTCGATAAATCGTTCAAATTGTTCACTTAGTTCACTGCATAGTTGGTCAGGTAGTTAAATGAATGGCCAATTATATGTGCAGTCTTTGTGGCCACACGGACCAATCATGTCACTTGCATTCAAGGGCCATTCATTTGTCAATAAGAGTGCACATATCCTATAAGTTATGGCCGTTGTAAAATGGGCTCATGAGCGATCTCAGGGGAAAGATTAAAACTTGCTTGTATTTGGGTTCTTGCACGGCAGTCTACATCGTTTCTCAATAGTAAGTATGCAGAATTGGCTGCTGCTTAACATCAACTTTATATAAACTGCTATCAATATTTATAGCATTTGAAACGTAGGATTTTTCTTTCACTTCAGTAGTCTTTCCCGAAGCCTAAATATCTTATATTTCTTGTGGTTCAAATTGAGGAAACTGTTTGCTCTTCTGTCTGCAGGAATAGATCAGGAAAACTCCTCGACTGGTGAAACAGCGGCCTTATCTATCGGCCTTTATTCGGGAAACAATCAATCATCTCAATACATAAAAAATATATTCCTAGAGAGCGATTAGGTACCTTTGTTATACGGTGATTCAATATTGGCTTTAGGTAAGGCAATGTTCACAAATACTTAATATATTTGCAAAAAACTTTGATCGCACTAGCAAATGACGGTTTTCTTATATTTAAAAGGCAAACAGAAAAAGGCACCATTTCTCTGATTTAAATTTGTCACTCTAACCAGTTTTGTCAGGACAATATTGGTAATAGAAGGATAATTTGATAGTTTGAATGATTCATATACCTAGTTGATTTTAGGTTATCGATTGTTCCAAAGCAACAAGGCGTAACTATTCAAAGGCGTTTGGAATATGGACGATTGAAAAGTCGATGAATATTTACAAGAACCATTTAAAGTTAGCGGATTGTATAAAGACAAATGATTTTTCACTGATTGCGACGCGGTTAGATTGGAAACAGATGGATCTAGCAGGCATCAGCAGAGTATGCTAAAAATATTTTCAGTTCGATAACAAAGAAACCCTAAATCTACCGATGATGATGTTCTTAGACGCTGATGAGTTAAGAACAATTAAAAATAAATAAAGATATTTGGAGTAAAACAAACTGAAATGGAAATCAAGAAAACATTTTTTTAGTTTGCTTCAGAATCAATTTTTGGCAATTACTTACAAGATGTGTAATTTTATGTTTTCTAATGTTGCATTCCGTCTTTCAGTCAATATCCTACTAATGAACGTTGACAAAAATATATTGAATTGAAATGAGAATGTAATTTTTTTTTAACAAACCATCCATCCATAACAAACCAAAATATCGTTCTAGAGTTTCCTCAGAGGAAGAAAATGTGCTTTGAGTCATCAATATCACCGGTTCTATCTTTAAATACGCAAAACTCTACAAAAACAACATAAAATGCGCGAAATATTATGTTTCGATGGGAAATGCTTCAAGACGTCCTACTTTTGTGTTGAAACCTGAGTACTGCAATGGTTTCCTGCATATTCGTTCTCTATCGGTGCAGTGGGAACATTTTAAACTAAGTCATATAGAGCGGCAATAACGGATTACGTTTCGCTATGTTAGAAAAGGTCGAGTTACAAGCAACTCGATAATATCTAGGAAATGCCCTACGCAGTAGCTGCGGTTTCACACAAAGACCTGAAACCAGTTGTCAGCTCAATCTACACCATCAACCGTGGCACTTTGTTAACACTCCACAACGTTTGTATTTGTATTTTAATAAAAAAAAAACGCTACAAGAACAGAGCCATTATCGATTCTCGTTCAGCTTTTACACACAGACGATTAAGTTGTTTCATTGTGGGCTTGTATCAAGTTTGTTATTTCTAGCTGATTTAATGACATGCTTAATGAATTAATTGGAAACAACTCATTTTCGTAGAAAATGGGACGTTTAGGTCATTTATATTTATTTTTCGTTCCTCTAATTTAAATATCTGAAACATGCAAAAACGTGGAATCTGGAACGAAAACGTTATTTTGCAACAATTAAATGCGTGATAAAAGATAATATTGACTTAATAATAATTTCTAGTTCATTTCTGCCAATTGTCTCTTCTTTAAATATTTGATTGCTTATTCTTCAAACTCAAATTATTGGAATTTGAATTACAACAGGTTCCTTCACATTATGTCCAAAATATTCATGCAGGGGCGAATTTGACTTGCACAATCGACTCAAACACGGCGCTGCTTTTTTCGAAGTTTCCCAAGTCCCACTCGATCCACATAATTCGTTTTGGTATCGTTGGATAGAGAACTGAAAATTCGATTGAGCCATAGTCACATGTGTGAGGAAATTTGGGCAGTTTTAATCCAGAAAACGAAATTTGAATATCAGACGCTTAAGTGTAAGATTATGCCAAAATTCCATGTTCTCAGTCCCGTTTTTGCTCATTTCTCGGAAATGAGCTGGAACGCTAATTTTTAACATCATACCAGAGGGAAATAAATGGTCATTTAAGAAAGTGAAAAACGTATTGATTTGAAGGAGTTTTAAATTTGCGTGTTTCTTTTGGAGTTGCAAAATCGAGTCAAACATGACGCTGCTTTTTTCGAAGTTTCTCAAGCCCCATTCGAGCCACAGAATTCGCTTTGGTATCGTTGGATAGGAAATTGAATATTCGATTCATTCATAACAACATGTGTTCGGCAATCAGGGCAGTTTTGACCCAGAATGCGAAATTTGAATATCAGACATTTAGGTGCAAGAGTCGGCCAAAATTTCAAGTTTTCCATCCCGCTTTTACCCATTTCTTGAAATAAAAATGATCAAGAACGCTCATTTTCACATAATTCCAGAGAGCAATAAATGGCCTTTTTAGAAAGTGATCTATCGATAAGGAAATGTTGGCAATTTTCTCAAAAAGGGCTTGATTTCCAGAAGTTTTAAATTTGCGGTTTTTTTTTTAGTTGCGAAATCGACTTAAAAATGACGCTGCTTTCTTCGAAGTTTCTCAAGTACCATTTGAGCCACAGAATTCGTTTTGGCATCGTTGGATAGAGAATTGAAAATTCGATTCGGTCATCACAGCATGTGTGACGAAATGCAGTTTTCATGCAGTTTTGACCCAGAAAGCGAAATTTGAATATCAGACATTTAGGTGCAAAATTAAAAAACATTTTATGTTTTGCGTCCCGTTTTTGCTCATTTCTCAGAAGCAAAATGATCGAAAATGCACATTTTCACATCATTCCAGAGAGAAATAAACGGCCTTTTTAGAAAGTGAACCATCGATAAATAAATGTTGGCAGTTTTCTCAAAAACAGGCTCAATTTCAAAAAGAAGTCCAGTAATAATTTAGTGAAATAACTATTTGGCTTGCTTCTCAGCAGGATACAAAAACAACCAGGTTGCGACTAAAAATCAAAATGTATGTAGTTCTTTAAAGAAACAATTTAGAACAATTCTACGGGTTTGTTCTGAAAACACGGGTTTTCGTATATGTGATGTTTTTCTGCTTTAAAGTCAAATTTCTTCAAAAAACCCTATACAGTGAAAAAACAGCAGCTGATCCAAAAACATGACACTTCAAACCGTTCCAACTGAAAATTATCTCCATATGACAATAGTGATTAAGTTTGCTTTTATTTTTATATTGTTTTATTTTATTCACAAATGTTACTCAATCTATTATAATTAAATTAGCTACATCGTCACATCTACTTAATCAATGCAACAATTTCGTGAATTCGGCGGTTTAATTCCTGATTATTTTTAATACCAGTCGTAAAAACTTTACGATTCAAGTCCTGTTACGGAAGAAAGTCACATGCGGCCAGTTTTGGCGATTTGGCTGGCCAAGGGTAGTCACCATATATGTAAATTAGCTGCTGTTCGCATCGCCATTAATTCGTTTTTACACGATAGCAGTTATAAATAATTGAACAGAAACTGAATAAATCTACGCAAATATCAGATGATGCATTGTAGTTCGTTTTTTTATAAGGAGTTTCTTTAACTATTTTAAAACGAGAAGTCAGTTCCCATGATTCCATATCGGATGGACGTTTTCGAGGCGTAAAATTCGTCAAAGTGTTAATGTGCAAATCAAAGCAAAACATCCTAAGTTCTTACGGAAAACCGAACTAGTCAACGGTCCTAAACAACGAATGGACGTTTGGAAAAATATTAATACCATTCTGTTTCAGACTTTAGCTGATGGCAACCACATTTTACTTCAGAACCACCCCGCGTTTCATTGAGCACCTGCTGCGTTAGGCTATATATAAATGCCGATTTTTTTCAACTGAACGCACCTGTCATAGTATAAGTGATGCCACTTGGAGCAGGTATATTCCAACTGTTAATAACAAAAGGTGTACTTTGAAGACACCAAAGTAGACTTTTAAAAAAGCACTCCCGCATGATAACTGTTACTCCAGTAACAGACACTCACTCTCACTTGCACACTGTCCATTTAAACCACTGAATTCTAGAAGAATTCTAGTGTATTCTCGTTGAAACAAAGCCAAGGCCGGGGGGTTCCGAACCATAAGCAAAAGCTGTTTTTGCATGAATTCCCCAAAACAACTTCTCTGAAAACTTTCGCAACTAAAGTTCCCGCGATAATCGAATGAAAGTACCGCAATTCTACAAGAGCGAGCCCGTTTCTTCAGCAGTACCAGTACCAACTGGCTGCCGACTGACAAGCGAGAGGCATGGCACGCCGCGATGGCGATAGCCACCTAAGAGACGCCTCCTTTGACTTGCTGCCGATGCCGATGAAGCTAATATAGTACCTGGATGGCTGGAAACAAAAGAACCGATTGCTGGTGGTTCAGCCTACACCGAATTCCTCCATAAACATCAACTTGGAAGTGTAAAGTTGATCGATGATGAGGTTGAGTAGCTGGTTTTAGATGTTTGTTGGACACAGAAAGCAGACTGTGTGAGAAGGAGGTTTGAGGACATTGAAATCTTAAGACCCAGCAAATGCATGGTTAATGAAGTCGAGTGGGAGTGATCCTGAAGAGTCAAGAGATTTATCAAGAATTTGAGACTTGCTCACTTCCAGGCATTTTGAGACTCAATGTCCAGCGCTTGGCACACTAGAAGATGATCATTCTGCGACCAAACAGTGGGAAATATTTCTAGTTAAGAAAGGACCGCTACTTCAACAGAAGGTTGTTATTGAGGAAAACAGGAGAAAATCAACAGACATCCATTGATGTTTCGCTCAATAAATCGATCAGATTGGGTGTTTGTAGGGACAAATTGACCTGACGAAGAAGCGGATAGCACAAATTACTGGCTGTCACGAAGTGGCTGCTCCTGCGACGAGATTCAGGAAACGTTGGTCGCCAATACCGTTCGTTGCCCGTTTACTGATTATTAACAAGACCGTCACGATTTTCTCCACTGGGATTAGTGGGCTTTGATCGAAAAATTATGCCACTCCAAAATCAAATTTCCGGTTGAAAGCCAAACCAGTTATCGACGCTAATCAATTCAATGCAATAACGAAGAAAACTTCCAAATGAACCAAACTAACATCAATTATTATTATTAAAATGAGCCATTCGGATAATAATTCTAATCCCAAATCAAAATTAATTCCTGGGTTTCAGTCATTTATTGTCTTTATTTATCAATTACAATACGTTTCGGTGTATTTTTCCACCATCATCAGTTTTTGATAAATAAAGACAATAAATGACTGAAACCCAGGAATTAATTTTGAATTGGAATTGAAACACAGTCAGGAAAGTATATACAAATAATTATAATGCAATGAGACATTGAGTTTGGATAGATTAGTTAAACATTAAATTCCAGGAAATAGGCATGATGATACAATTTTCACAAAACAAATTTTAAAGTTATTTAAAAGTCAGAGAAGTTAAACGATGCTTATACTTATACAACTACATGCAAAACCTCCAGCCACCTCGTCTTCAAATGTGCAAGCGATCACTGAATAAATTTTGCGCAGTTAAAGATCAAAACTTCTGAGCGAGCCATAAAATTAAATATTCGTTAAAACCGCCAACTTATATTCCTGTGTTTGCATAAACTAAAAACTTATCAACTTACCAGCAGTATACCGGTTTTAATGATTGTTGCCTAATTTATAATCTTATTGCTCTTTTTGCTTTCATTGCTATTTACTGCACTCCAATTTAAATTGTTAACAAAAAAATGGATAATAATCAAAATTCTTTGGTGCACGTAATCCAGGAGACAAAGATATTCAAGAAAAAACAAAATTGGTGTATGAAACGTGCAATAATAAAATTGCTTAAACAACTATAGAAGTTGAAAATTACACCATTAAGAAGGTTGTAGTGTTCATTGGGAAACCATTTGCCTACAATATAAATGCAACATTTCCCATTTTTTCCCAACACTTTCATTCCGTAAATTCCACGGATCTAGATATTGATCGGAGGCTATTGAAACTTGGTCTGATCGTAGTAAATCAAATTAAGAACAACCTTAGCGTCCAAAGGTATTGACTGTGGTCTTTCGTATAACTTTATAGCTTCATCTACTACACGTGCAGCTCATAAGTCCGTCGTAAAAAGAGTAGTGGAAATGAATACAAATGGACACTTTAGAAATGGCCATAGAATTGTGTGTGCATGCCGCAAGTCCAAAGATTCTAAATCTGGTCGTTCGACAGGAGCTGTAGTGCTTGTATTATATTGTAATGACATTGGATTACATATTTTTCTGATGTTGCGCTAAAAACCGCAACTAGTTCACTATGGGGCTTCTCAATCTGGTTCTAGATAGATTTTGCATGACGCAAAGCTCATCAATAAAACAATTCGTCATGTACAACATGTCCTTGAAGAAACAAATAGGCAAAAGTCGTGGATGGTTTTTTCCCAGTTGAAATTGAAGAAATTGCAGGGACGTGCGGAAAACGTTCTCTCATATGGGTGTTTTAAGGCGTAAGATCGGACAAAACCTATTAAATAAAATTTAAGACGACAGAGCAACCAAACAGTTAAACAAATACAAGTAACTCCGAAAGTTGAATCTTAAAATTCAAAACATGAAGTAATAATGTACGCTAAAATAGAGACAGAACAGTTATGAAGCAAGACGCTAACAAATGTTCTGAAATTAAGAATTATAATAAAATGAAATCATTAGAATTAGAGAAATAGCAAATTCGTTTGATGTCGCTTGAAATTTAAAAAATATATAAAACTTATTGAAATCTGACTTAAATACAGTTGATTATGTAAACATTTATTACTTTATTTTATATTATTATACTACAACAAGATAGTTTAATTTACTGATAAGCAACTGAGCTTTTTGCATTTTGATGCATGCTGTCTTATTTTCGTCTAATAGAAAGCTCGTATGTACACGGAGTTTGTTTAAATCAGCAGGAGTTCAGGGATCGATGGAAAATATTAATTTAAATAGGAAATATTTTCCAAATTGGTCTGGCGGACAGTTTGAGAGGGCAAAACTCACTTTCTAGAATAAATTCTATATTGAATGAGGAAGAATTGCTGGACTTAAAACAAGGTAATTTATTTCTTTATTTTCTTTAAAGTCTGCATTTCAAGACAAGTTCTTTTCTTTGGAGATTCGGTCTAGGCAGTGGTGATAAAGAAAATAAACTCTTATAAACATTATCGCTTGTTTAAAGTCTTCGCGTCTTCGAGTTTTGATATTGTAATCTAGATGGGTGGATAATCTTTTGGGTGGTTTTTAATGTGGACTTAGTGTAGTGATTGAAACGTACATACTTTTCGAAAGTATAATAAAAAATCCTTTTTCTTTCAAAATCTAGATTTGCCCAGTCGGTAAAAAAATGATGCTGAGTCGCTGTATTACGGTAAGTCACAGAAAATCACATTTTATGGCAATATCTTAGTATCAAACTACTTATTGTGCAACATGGCAAACTTTACAAAACTGAAGCTTTTTGTAAATAGGGTTCTAGAACAACTTTGCCTTAAAGTATGGTTTTTTAGTAATTGGTAAGCTTCTGCTACTCTTCGCAATTAGCTTGGCCGTATACATCGAACATTTAATTAATACATAGTTAGTTTAACTTTTAAGTAACTAAACTTAAAGGGGAAAGGAAAAGAATATTGAGATTGTCACCTGATAATATTTCAAAACCGTAGAAAAGCTGCGGTTTTCTGGTAATTTTATTTCAAATGAAACTTACAATTTGCAACACTTTAATGGTTGAAGACTGGAAATTTGATCCTAATTAATACTATTGAAAACAATAAATATTGAAAATCACGTTCTAATTATGTTTTACAAATATTTAATTATTTTCGCATAACTTCTCGCACTATGGCTTATGTTCAATTTTAGCAAACATGACTAGAATAAACATGGCCCCTCACTAAGTTCCTTATGAGACGCCTCTGCCATGTGAGCTTAGTGTTTAAACGTATCGAGCGATTTTTAAAAGCCAGACCGATTAATCCCGCTCAAAGAAGCCAAGCTGGGTAGTTAATTTTCTAAAGGTTTATCTTGTTGGGCCGCCGGCCTCGCTCTCTAATGACGATATGATTTTCGTATTTTTAACGGGTCGATTAAATGACCAGAGGATGATGATTGAAACTAGAACGAATGCCTTAAATTAATCACCAGCTAAGCAATTTCACGGTCTTCCAACCTGGTGATAAACTATGAAAGCGAAATAGTTCAGCGACTTTTCCATCCAGCGAATAGAACAGGAATTGGGAGTTTTTTTCGCTCTAATTTACAAGACACGTTTGGATTGTTACAAAGAATAAAACACCCTGAATATTACATGGTCTAAGCCTGCTGTTAAATCCAGAAACTGATGCATATCAATAGAATTATTATGCTAAAGATAAGTGGATATAATAAAATAATAGCGTTGTAAACACAAGAAGTAAACGTCCAATATATTAACCAAAACAATACTCAAACTTGGTATGATTTATTTATGAAAATTGAAAACTCTATGGTTATTCAGTCATGTTTAATATTCCGAACCGTTTGGACAAAGCGTAAAGTGCTCGAAACAATGACATACATTCCGCATTATTTATCACTCACTAATTGGCTTTATCCATATTTAGGCAAAGCTTATGCTATTTTTCAATGAATTTCGTAAAGCTTGCGTGATTTGTGTATGGCTGTGCTTTGGAAGTTTATAGATTATGTCTAGTGACAGATAGAAGGTCGACAGTGGAAAATCTCGATGCCATAAATATATCAAAATGCACATATTTCATGCTAGAATTGTCTCTTGTTCCATAAATGGCATACCATTTAACGTATTCACAATTTTTATGGATACAAAGCTCACTTTGCCGAAGAATTCCATAAAATATGAATGAATACATATTTACAAACCAATACTGAAAACGCATCACTTAAATCAGATGCTCTAAAAATTGGTTTAAAAGGAAAATAAAAAAATTTTACATGCTCTGTAAACCGTTTGCTTGGGAATATTTAACATTTGCTTTCTGAACGAGAACTATTACAAAGAAATAAATACAAGAACACTGAACTGTATCTAATTAAAAATAATACTTCAATATCTTATTCTTTTTGTGAAAGCGAAATCGCCACATTGCAAAAAGTGCTGTGGTGTTAATTACATAAAGTTTGACTGAAGTGAATAGTCTAGGACGAAATTATGCAGTAAAAAATCATATTTAATCATTAATTTTGTTTCTATAATTAATTAATTGAGAATCCACCAGCTCATAAGCAAAATGTAAATCCTTTGATAAATGTGCACTTTCCGTAG